ATTGAAATTAGGATGTTTTTTAATTTCAATAGCCTCACGTATCATCCTTGGTAGGAATCAATGTTCTTTCGCGAGGATTTGTGGTCTATCAAATCTGATGTAATGGTTGGGGCCATCTAGAATATGATCGCAAACTGCAGACTTCCCGGAACGTTGATGCTTCACGTCAGCTATGTGTTCTTTTACGCTGGTTCTAATTGATCTCTTTGTTTGCCCTATATATGAGACCACAATCACAATCAAGCTTGTACACTCCTGCGTCTTGTAGAGGAATATGACACTTGACGGATGGTAAGAACTGACTAATCTTCTTCGGCGGCTTGTAGAATGTTCTAATAGAAGCTCGCTTCAAGATGTAGCCAATCTTGTCTGTGACACCTCTGGCATATGGTAGTATAGCAGGCACACGCTCGACTGTGGCCGGCTTCACTCGGTCACTGTGACGGAGGCGCGGGACCCGAAGCTTGTTGTCGTGCAGAACCTGCTTGACGTGCTGAAGCTCGGCGGCCAGGTGTTTCTCACATTTCCAACTGTAGCTATTATTATCATCTCAGAATTTTCCTGACGTCATAGCTGCATCCCGCTCAATATTGCACAGCGCTTTATTGCGTTTTATAAAGCATTTATCGTTTCATATTATAATGAAGACTAGACTAGACTAACTCTCCCTATTCATCCATATCCATCCCCATACTTAATACACACTTTTTTAATTTACAAACAGTAATGCAGATATCACTTCAACACACTAATCTACTCTCTAGTGCATTTATATAATTTTCCTTTTCTTTTTCTTTATTTTTTCGGATATCAAGAGCGAGCGTGCACTCAGCCCCCCGAATTGCCTCGGGGTATCGACTGGTCTGAAAACCAGTGCTATCACTGAGACCGGTTTTTTCGCAGTTTCATGCTGCAACACGGGGTTTTTTAAGTGTATTTTTTATAAAATAAGAGTGACAAACGAGCACACAGTCCACCTGATGGTAAGTGGATGCCGTAGCCCATAGACATCTAAATTTGTATTCAATAAAGAATCAAAACGTTTATGCATTATCACTTATCACCCTTGAGGACTAGGATGAAATGCATTATTTCCAGTTAAAAAAGTTTTCAAGTACTCTATCTACGTCGTTCGTCATGCGTACAGCAAATAAGTGTAATAAGTTGCCGGCATTTGTCTTTCCATCCGATTACAGTGTGGGGTGTCTTCAAGGCAAGAGTGAATAGGTTTTTATTAAGTCAGTACGCTTCACCATCTTAGGCTACATCACTACTTACCATCAGGTGGTATTGTAGTTAGGCTTAGAATAATGAAAGAAACATAAAATTCGAAATGCAAACACTTATGGGCGGCCAGGAGCACAGAACTTTTAGTGTGCCCTATGTATAATAATATATTACAGCAAGTAATACTACGGAGCGTCAGATTTAATAATAATAATAATGTCCTCCAGACCGAATTTCGGCCACAGCGGCCTGCCTCAACGGAGGCTAGCCATCAGCGCGGGACAGGATTATAGTGCCCAAGTGTATGCGCGCAAGCACAAGTGCACTCTCTATTCCCTCATTCTCATAATCCGATGGGACGGTAGACCGACACGACCGGAGAGAAATCAGGCGCAGGACTAACAGCTTTACGTGCTTTCCGAGGCACGGGGGGCTAGACACCGCCAACTTCCTGACTCCGGGCAGCTACTGAGAGTTTCTTGACAGAAAAACTCAATAATTGATTTTTTGGCCCGACCCGGGATTCGAACCTAGGACCTCATGATCAGTGGTCGCACTACTACATCCACTAGACCAACGAGGCAGTCGTCAGATTTAATAGTTAACATATTATAGTACATGAAAAGTACATGCATATTAATAGAACGCCGCCAAACCGATTCAAGTTTAACACATGTTCCTCAAATCATTGAGCGCCAGATTGTAAATGACGTAATACGCCATCTCGGTTTATCGCGCTAACGCTGAAGTAACCGACAAAATTAATTAAACACGTATTTAAGATGCTGAAAATATCCTTAGGGCCGACAAAGCATCTGCATTTATGGCACATGTGTCTGTTAACCACAGGATGCACTTACCATCAGAATAGAGATAAGAGTTTCCAGTACGTAATGCTCTCGTCATTGTCATCAGACCGTATCTGTTGCGGTCACTAGTCCAGATTTTACAATTAGAGGGGCAACAGCATTAAAAATACGGGATTCAAGGCTAAAGTGATGAAAAAGCCATTTTTCTTTGTTAAAATCTACTTAGTACCTTTCCATGCGAGAATATTCTTATTGAATGATAAAAATACAGGACAATATACTATCTCGCTTTAGTTTAGCCAAATTAAGAGACAGGACCGGATTTATAGCGAGAAAACTGGACATCTCGTAGAATGTTAGACACTCCTGCTTACCCATGTAACTGCAGTCCACCGTAAATAGAGCTCTCGGAATTTGCGAGGATTTACCCTAATGGCGGCCGGCAGACGGATTAGCGAGTGCAGTCGCATCAAACTGAAACGGTATCACATGCGTTTATTCTTTAATGCTACCACCACCCGTCACTTCCCAAGAACATAGAACAGCATATTTTGTTTATTAAATATAGATTACTATTAATTTTTATTTAAACTCATTTTTTACTTTTATCACTGGCTGGAAAAAGTCTCTGTCCTGGGAAGAACTAGAAACAAACCCAGCGGGAGATTTTTAGATTAGGTTAGTTAATATTGCCATCAAAATGTTTGTTTCCTGACTTCTCTTCCTCTGACCTCTATCGATCGATCGTTTACAATAATCTATATAAAATACTAGAAGTCGTAGTCAGATTTATTGGTGTTGTCATATTCGAAATCGATAAGGAGGATATCATCAAACGTCATGTCTAAAAATAGTAATAGTAACCAACATTAGTTACCAACAACAGTGGTACAGTATGATGATAATTCTAGACGTGCTGCTTTACAGATGTCCTCGTGTTGAACGCAACAATCGGATACGCTACGCCTTGTCACGTAACAATGAACTCATGAATATTCAGCATCAAAGGTTTTGTCTTACGTACGTTACGCCACATGCAAATTATGTGTTATTTTCTATAAGCAACAAGTAGGTAATTCGTAAAATACTGAAACCTGTGTTAATTCTATTTAAAAAAATCGAACAAAGGTAGCCCTTTGATTGATTAAACCATGCACATGTTTGAGCTTTTCAAAATGAAAGTCATTTTTACCATAAACAAAATACACTAGTCACAAAAATTAAAGAACATAAAAAATCTATTTTTCGGTGATTTTCAACAAGCTATAACTCCCGAGTAAAATGATCGTGCAAAAAAAGCAAATTGTAGCTCCAAGTGTAGTTTTCAGATCTGGTCCTAAGGAAACTACCGAAATTCCAAATTTTAGGTCTACAAACAACTGGGTAACAAAGGGCTTCAAAAAATATTTTTTTTATTATTTCACTAGAAATCTTTTTTTAGGAAATTTAATGCCCTATAATTTGAGGTAATTAAGTTTACGCGAACACTACACATTGAATAAAACTGTTATTTAGGGATTTTATCGCAATTAATTACTACTTTAACTTATTTTTATTATCCCGACGTTTTGGGTGCTTTACAGCACCCATGGTCACGGGGCTGACTGACATGTCCTATGTGCCTGGAAAACCACGTAGTTCATTCACTGCGATTTAATTAAATATAAAAATTAGAAAAATTTAATTTTTATTGGCATTAGTTTGGGCAATACTTAAATCTTTCATCCTAGTAAGTTATAAAACATAAACGATGTTATACTGTTAGATGAGATTACTCTAGTATCATTCTAAGTAGATCTTTATTTTAACATATCTTTGCTTATGCTTTAATTGACTTGTTTTATGCATTCTTATACTTTAGCATGACTACCACGTTTATTATATTCAATATACGCGGTAGAGCCATGTTGCAGTTATATTAGTAGTATAGTTGTAGCACGAATGGGCCGGCTCGACCGGGGAAGGACCACGCTCTCACAGAAAATCAGCGTAAAATAGTAGCTTAATGCTGTTGTGTTTCATTTGGTGAGTGTAGAGGACCGGAGACCCTTTTTACTGAAAAGGAGGCATTCCATCTTAGTCCTCACGGGTGACAACGCATCTGCATTTTGATTCGTAATCGAGGATAGATGTAGATGTCTATGGACCACAGTAACCACTTACCATCAGGCTGGACTGTATGCTCGTTTGTCACCCTTATACAATAAAAAAACATCTCGTTATTTTTGTATAATAAAGTAGAATAAGAAAACATAAAACACAACTTTTACAGGAAAATGTGGTACCTTTTATTTATTTACTAAACTTGAGAATACTACTTTTACAGAATACCATCGAAAAGAAGTAACAGCATTCATTATATATGGGAACTTATTACTCCGGGTTTAGATCATAACGGTGGACAACGCCTCGTTTTGCGGCTGAGCATGTAGACGTCCATTTATATTTTGTATTATCGCCGAGAATGTTTGTCGCCCTCAAAACCATGCACACCGCATGATACAACTAGTTTTAGTTGTATCATGCGAAGTTGCATCGTGTATACACGTCCCCCTGCATAGCCCACCTTTCTTTTGGGAGAAGGTTATGTCGCAATTAGTCTTCCACTAGTGTTGGTAGATTTCACATATGTCTTCGAAATATTTTATTGTTATAGGTTCCATAGGACGTTCTCTTTCACCGTTGAGTACGTGGTAAATCAGTACTTAAAATTTCATTTGTGCCACCTGGGAATCGATCCCGGGTTACTCGCTTACTGTGAAACTTACGGCAATTGAGCTATTATCATAGATCGTAAGAAATGTGTTAAGTCTTATTGGATTTTATTATGTCTTATTTAACCAAAGACTATATAACCACTTCAGTTATATTCTCTATGTATTTAACAGTTGTTTATTTTTATTTCAGGCATCGACAATCGATGGCAGACGGAAGGGAGCGTGTTTGTTTTGCCAGGAGTATTTCATGGACCTGTATTTGTTAGCCGAGCTCAAGACCATCAGTTTAAAAGTATGTTGAACAAGTTACTTTTCTGTTTACCCGCCATTTTATAACTTAGTAGAGAGAGAGAGAGAGAGAGAGAGAGAGAGAGAGAGAGAGTTAGGACAGATTAGTTGTTTATCTTCTTTATACTGGATGACCTTTTTTACCGTCTGGAAAAAATAGGGTGTAACATATTATGAACGAAGTAGAAGCCTATGGCCCTGATATTTTACAAAATATAAAAACAAAAAAATTTGAATTCAATAAATAAATAAATTAAAGTCTATCGAAATTCAAATCATATCCATCCTAGCCTGTGACTGTGACCTAACAAGTACAAAGACCCTGCGAAGTAACAAGGTCAAAGATGCCTAACTAAATTTATTGTTTTATTGCCGTTCGTAAAGTAGGATGGAAATTATTTGAATTTCCATAGATTTTAATTAATTTATTTATTTAATTCAAATTTTTTTTGTTTTTATTTTTTGTAAGCTTTCAGTGCCATAGGCTTCTACTCCGTTCACATGTTACACCCTATTTTTTCCAGACGGTAAAAAAAGTCATCCGGTATATTATTACATATTATAAAAGTTCAGTGTGCGTGTGTTTTTTTTTAATTCTTCTCCTCCTAAACGTCTTGACCGATTTTGATGAAATTTTTATGGGGTACTTATGGAGTCACCTGAATGTTTCTTAGCTATAGTTGGACCCGGTAGGTTGCGGATCCGGAAATCATCCATGCGAATTCGGGAGGGATTGGTAGTTTTTAATAAAATATATGAGTAATTGTTTAGTGAAGTAGCCATAACCCGGCTTCATAACTTAAGTAAATGTAAGCCATTTTGAAGGTTGTTTTATTGCTTACTTCTGAGTCGTTGATGACAATTTGTGATAAATATTGATTTGTAAGACACCTGTTATCGTTAGATAAGCGTTTAAGAAAACTCAAGTTTCATATAGCAACATGACGTTACAGGTGACGACAGTTGACATGCAAAAACCGCCGCCAGATTTCCGCACCAACTTCGAGGCGACGCATCCGCCGATCCTCATCGACAACGGCCTCGCCATCCTCGAGAACGAGAAGATCGAACGGCACATCATGAAGTCAGTGCCCGGCGGACACAATCTATTCGTGCAGGCAAGTAATGACACTGGATAGGTTGATGATTGTCGTGGTAGGTCATGTGGTGGTGTTAAAGTTTTCATTATCCCACTTCGTTCAGTGGGGGGTTGGGAAAATAGAATTTGAGAAGAATATAATATAAGCAGAGGATATGAGCTAGGAGCTAACTTTAAATATCTTGATACGCAAGTAAGCAAGTTCGAAATGAGAAAGGCTTTTCTTAACAAAAAAAAGCTTTTTTACACTTCTTGATGATACCCAATTTTATAGAAGTAAGAAGGACAAAAGAGCACATACTCCACCTGATTCCTATGGCTGTACAGCTGCATAGTGAGGTCGATTCTCACCTGCGCCTTTATTGTCTGGTGTAAAGCGGCCAACCAAAAGACGACTGCGCACAGACTAAATAGTCTACAAAGGACTGCCTGCTTAACGGCAACTGGAGCTACGCGAGCATCGCCTGGAGCGGCTCTTATGCACTTCTATGCCTAACACCCCTTGATCTATATCTATACAAGGAGGCGAGGGCTAGTTTGTATAAGATTAACGCCTAGGGCGGTCTGAGCTTGCTCTCCTACAGATTGAAATCCATGCTCGACTTAATTAAGGAAACACCGGTCTTACGCATGATCTCAGATATCATGCGTCCACTACACACTTTTGATAAAAAAGTATATGGTGGAATTACCCTCCAGAGAAAACTGGCTTAATGTCCAGGTTATCTGTGAGGTCGGTAGCCTCATATGGTATACCGATGGGTCTTAAATGGGCCTCGACATAGGCTTTGGAATTTACGGGGAACGCCCCAAATTCAAACTTAGTATGAATTTGGGTAGATTCATCTGTATTTTCCAGACAGAAATTTTAGCCATATTTCAGTGTGCGGAAATCAATCTGCAAAAACACTACGTCAACCATATAATTTATATAAACTCTGATAGTCAAGCAGCACTGAGGTCAAACTTAATGAACTCGAAGCTAGTTGGAGACTGCGTGAACCGTTTAAACGCCCTGTGATGTAACAACAGGGTCGTCTTACGATGGGTTCTGGGTCACGCGGGTAGTGTAGGCAACGAATTTGCCGGCAAACTTGCACGGGAGGGCTCAAAGTGCACAAAATTTAGACCTGAGCCATTTTGTGGAATCTCAAGAAGCCTAGCCCGATTGACGCTTGAAACTCTTTTATCACAAAAAATCACTTAAGATCTGATCCGACACATCAGGCTCAAAACATTCTAAAAACTTGATCCGAGCTTTTGATCGTAAATTCGCTTCAGAAGCCCTGGGATTAAGTAAAAATAAATTGCGCATTCTGGCAAGAGCCCTTACAGGACACTGTTGTCTTAAAAAGCACATGTCCGTACTAGGTCTAAGCAACTCAAGGATGTGTCGGTTCTGTTCCATAACGGAAAGAAACGCCTCTGCACGTCCTAACTAATTGCGGACCCTTAATGCGCAAACGTAACGCTCATATGGGAAACTATGTACTTCGCACAGAAGAAGTGAAATTGCTCACATCTAAGCAACTCCTTCTATTCATTGAAGACATAGGGCTTAGCAGTGAACTATAGCCATAGCAGTGATCACAATAGATCTTTTAAGTCGCAGTGATACCGGTCTCTTTCCCTAGACTTGCATAGCTGCTCGCACATTAAAAAAATACTCCACCTGATGATAAGTGGACAAGGAGTATATTGGTGCGTTGTCACCGTGAAGTACTAAGATAAAATGCTTTGTTTTCAGTAAAAAGGCTCTCCGGTTTTTTATACTCACCTTACGAAACAAATCGGCATATTATGCTGTTATTTCAAGCACATATTCTGTGCAAGCGTGGTCCTTTCGCGGTCTGAGCTGACCTATTTATGCTGCAGCCCACGCACGCTGCGCTGTAAGAGAAAGACGCATGGATTTTTTTATTCAATACGAATTTTAAGTTTTTATATGACTTAAAAAAGGAGGTGCTTTCAATTCAATTTTTTTTGTATGGTACGTGATATCTACGTCAATTCTGTACCGATTTTATTCTTTTTTTTTCTATAAAATAGGTTATATATATTGCAAGATTATTTTAAAAGAGAAACTAAATTTTAAACTTAAGTTCGAAGATATAAATAATGATATACCGTTATCGCAGTATTTGAAAATAGGATTAAATAAGGATTCCGTTTTTATTTGAAATTATCCCAAAAAAAATGTGATTTATGGGCAACAATGTTTTCACCTACTAATCGACCCTTGCGAATGAGTGCGCGCGCAGTAAAATCAGTTAAAATAATGCATTACAATGCATTTTTAATTTAAAAGATAAAAGGACAGAATGTTTGTGAATTAATTTTTCTTCACTATTTATTTACCTATATTACTTATTCTGAACCTTCTCTACAAATTTGGCCGGTTATTGCAAAATAACCACCACCAAGTAAAAAGTGCCAACTTCAAGTGTGGAAAATAGGAGATAAAATTTTTAAAGTAACTATATAGATGACATTCTAGTTGTCTAGAGCATGTGATGTTCCTTCTTGTACGCATAAGGGTTAAAGATGCATTTAATAATTAGGTAATACAAATAATTAATATCACAAGAATATGTTTTCTAACGTGCATATAAGCAATTTTATATGTAACGTAATTAACACACACCCTCAGACACCCCAATTAGTATATTATGTTAAAATCATAATCATACACTGAATTTTTAGTTAAACACTTTTATGCACTGATTATTATTTATCAAATTAGTTATAATAATTCCGGAAAAATGTTGTGGTCACAGTACAAATCCACGAACCCAAAGACTTTAACGTGCTTGAAATAAAGTTTATTTTTCTTTATTTTTATTGAATGACAGAATTAGTAATTATACAAAGAAAACTGCACTCTTAAAAGTCTTATTGCCTTAAGTTACGGTCCATTTCAGTTTGTTTTGACTGTACAGATTTAATGTGACTGTAATTTACGTAGTTTTAATTATTTTTGGGATAAAAAATTACCTATATTAAAAATGATAGGAATCGATTCAGTAAAGGATTCTGAACAAACTACTTTCTCAAAGTGCGTTAATTATGTTACGTGTTGTGTATACGAGACATACAGGCTAATATATTTGCAACCAATTTCAGAGAAAAAGGGCTACGTAGGTGAGCTGTCATTCTTTAGAATTAAGTATTTTTTTTTTATAGAAAAAGGGCTACAGGTGAGCTGTCATTCTTTAGAATTAAGTAGGATGAAATGCCTCACAAACTGTAATTATATTGGCTTTCTTATTGATAAGGGTGTGTGTCTGTCACTTAGGACAAGGAAGTTGCCTCGCTAATCGAGAACCTGTACTCGAAACTGAAGCTGGTACTTGTGCGTAAGGACGAGCAGAAGTCGGCCGCATTGCGCGCGCACCTTGGACGTATCGACGCGTTGCTCGAGCGCCGGGGGACGAGGTGAGGCTATGTTCTTATTATGTATTCTGTGCGGTTACGATATTCACCTGTCCAATTTTGACTATGGTAATGTTTTTTCTTAAATTTTTTTTTATAAAACTGAAGAACCTTACAGTCCACCACAGAAAAACAGACATACATTTTAAAAACATTTATTTGTGTAATAGCATGCAAATAATCCTCTGAATTTAATAGAATCCAGTTATTTCACACCCTTAATTTTTTTTATATGTGTATATACTAGAGATGGGCCGAATATGAATTTTACCGAACCGAATACGAGGGCGGCACTGAAAATTTCGGGAATCAAGGAAGTGACACAACATTACTATTTCAAAATGTATTTATTGCTTTTCGAAGTTTCTCTTTCTCCGCGAAATTTGACACATTTTTCCATACGATGGAACCAATGAAGCAACCATTCCATTCGGAAGTTGGGGTCTCTAAAATGGCCGTTTTGTAGGCGTCCACAGCTTCTTCAGGTGATGAAAATCTCTGTCCACGCAATTTATTCTTTATTTTAGGTAAAGTATAGAAATCATTAGGGCTTAGGTCGGGGCTGTACGGCGGATGGTCTAATAATTCTATGTTTTCTTGCTCTAAAAACTATTGTTCTGTGTGTGGTGTGAGAACTCGCATTGTCGTGATGGAGGATGATGGCGGTTGCAGTTCTCTTTACGGAGTTCAGAATCGACCTGTGGCAAACAAATGCTAGCATACCATTCTGCATTAACCGTTCTTTGTCCCTCAAGAGGAATAGTCGTAAAACATGGCCGGTTTCAGAGACAAACGTGGCCACCATTTTTTTTTTTTGCAACACTCCGTAAACGAATAATTTTTGTTGGCTTTAACTCATTTTCGAACACCCAAACTCGTGACTGGTTTTTTGTTTTGGGTTCGTACGCGTATATACAGGATTCGTCACCTGATACGATGTTGTATACAGCATTTGAGGATCCTGCGTGGAATCTTTCGAGAGTTCTGACGCACCAAGTAACGCGAGCCGCATTTTGCTCTTCACAGAGCGAATGCTGTATCCATCGAGAAAACTACTTTTTTTATACCTAATTGTTCATGTAAGATTATTTGTATTTGACTCATGCCAATGTCTAAAGTTGCCTGAATTTCGCGGTATGTCACATGTCGATCTTCCTCAATCAGCTTACGCACAGCATCAACGTTTTCTTGGGTGACTGCAGTTTTTGGACGACCTTGACGGGGATCATCACTGAGCTTGACACGTCCACGTTGAAATTCAGCAAACCAGCGATAAATTGTGGTTTTGGATGGGGCTTCATTACCAAATGTAGAAATCATCCGGTCAACACACTGTTTTTGTGTTAAACCACTTCGAAAGTCGTAATAAATCTTCGCTCTTGAATTTTCTCGAATCAATTCCATTTTCTCAACGACTAAACAAGTTTGACAAAATCTTGTGACAAGACCGAGAATCTTTTTTTAAATAAATAAGTGGTATTCGATTATTAAAACCAAGGAGTTTTCAATTGAAAAGATTTTAATATGACAGGAACAGTGGAAATATTCCATTCCCGATACTTTTAGTGCAGCCTAATATTCGACCGAACATTATTCGGTAGGATCACCATTTTTTGCGCCCGAAGCTATTAAGGGCAACCCTTCGGTAACGGGGGAGGGAGGTGGAGAATGCTCATAGCATACCACGCAGGCGGCTGCGTGGTTACCTGTGGAGACTTTTACCCACTAAACTCCACCTTTAGGGATTGGCTTACCGATCTGACGAGAGATCTTTAAGCCGTAAACGGACGCGACCCTCCTTGGCAGAAAGGAGGGCGCAAGCGGCGAAAAGCCGCTTGGAAGTGTGCCTAACTAAGGCAGATTAAGGGATGTGTTAAGTAGGCTCGGCCTGAGCCGCCAGGAGGCAGTTCAGGTCAGCCGAAAGCATGTTGGGGGGGGTCCGAGAGAGAGTTTCTCGGTCTGCGCACACTTTAGCGAGTGTGAAAAGGGGCTGCATAGGCAACTGTCTCACGAATGAGGCGATTTGGGTGTAACTCTGAGGCTTTGAAAAATCTCTCAGAGAGTGTTTTGAGGAATTGTTGAATTGTTTGGAGCTCTAAGTCTCGATGGAGGTCGGCGTTACGGACATAATAGGGCGAGTTCGTGGCCCTACGACAGAAAGGATCAACTCTTCAATACAGTGGATACTTTGAGTATCACTTTAAAGAATGTTCGGTGAATTAGCCGAATTCCAAATATGAAACGAATATTTGGCCCATCTCTTATATATACTCTCCTATTGTATATTCAGGTTTGAAATTCATGTAGATTAAATTTGAATCGATACTTTTTAATTGCAGATTTCTGACAGGCGACACTATGTGCTGTTTCGACTGTGAACTGATGCCGCGTCTTCAGCATATTCGCGTCGCCGGCAAATACTTTGTGGACTTCGAGATACCGGTATTCTTTTTTGTTAACAATGAAATTCCAAACGTTTTGGTTATTCCGTTCGTTATATTACGAAAATTTTACGTTGCTATTTGGTTTAAAACTTTCAAAGTCACAACACACACATTCTAAACAACAGCAAAATGAAGTTGTTTACCGTAATTTGAATTTTTGTGTTACAACGTGCACGGCGATGAAGAAAAAAAAATCGTGAAAAATGGTCGCATGTCTTAGAAAAGTAAGAGTAAAGTTACAGTCTATACACGTCCCACTGCTGGGCACAGGCCTCCCGTCATTTCTGAGTGGGCTTTAGGGCAAGGATGTGTCCGGCGCCGTGCTGTCCTAATGCGTGTTGGCGAACTTCACATGTCTTCGAAATATTTTTTCTTATTCTTCAACCATGCATGTTTCCTCACGATGTTTTCCTTCACCGCCGAGCTCGTGGTAAATCAACACTTAAAATTGCAATTAACAATTTCATTGATGCCGTCAGGGATCGAACCCGGTTTACTCGTGTACTGTGAAATTTACAGAGAGCGTTAACCAACTGAGCTATCACGGCTCTTTTATGTATTAGAAATAAAAAATATTTTAAGTTTTTTAACCGTAAGGCATCGCGGCACATTTTCCCTGACCTAAAACCGTCCCGAAAATGAATAGAAACATTTGGATGAATATAAGCTTTATTATTACTAATTTACTTTTATAGAAATGTATAATAAAATATCGCCAAATTTTATTATAAAAATACGCATTTATTTATTTTAGTATAATGTATTGTATAATAAAATAATGTCAAATTAAATAAAAAAAAATAAACACGTTTTGTAATATTTTTTAATAGAATGAGACTGACAAAAGAACAAACATTACACCTGATTTACGTAATACATAACTATTATCTAATATTTGGCCTTTATCTATCTTCTATTAAGAATCAGAATGTATATGTCATATCACCACTGAGCAGTGCCGAATTAACTAAGCACGGTTCCTGCAGCAAATTCTACCGAGGGGCCCTTGATTGCTGTTTCGGCACTCGACGACGTGTTTATTTTTGTGAAATATTTAACACGGCCGGTGGCGGCGTGTGTCGTCTGCATAACAACGAATGCATCGTATCATTGATATGCAGAAGGAGCAGGATAGGCAATAGCATGCAGCCTTGTGGATCACCAGCATTCACAGGCTTGCAGTCGAAGCATGCATGGTCCAGTTGTATCAAGGCAACGTCATAAACAGATCTTCCCGCATGATCGGTAGTACGAGAACCGAGTCATTCAGTGTGGTGGGGGTTGAAACTTGTGCGTTTACCGTATGAAATTCTGTGTTTTATTTAGTATCAACGAAATAATCGGTTACCGTTTGTCTCACGTGGATTGTGTTAGACGGAAAAGGTGCCCCGTATCACGTTTTTGTGACATCAAGTATTTCAGTATACTACATTTTCATATGTTTCACTCAAAAAATTACTCTTAGGCGATGATGGGCATTGGATACGCGGGACCCCTTTTTTCACGGGGCCCGTAGCAATTGCTACTCTCGCTACGTGGTTAATCCGGCATTGTCACTGTGTACTAAAATGGAATGCCTCGTCTCAGTTTCTCTACACTCACCATTCGTAGCTCAGCAGTATTAAGCTGCTATATACGCTAGTATTCTGTTAGAGCGTAGTCGAATCGACTCATTCGTTCTGTAACCCTAATAGCAACAACGTGACTATCTCGTTAAATAAAAATATAAAAATCAAATTTACCTTCAAAAAGGCATTGATTTTAACATAGTTCTAAACGATGTCATGTCGTGTTGTAGACGAGTTTCCGCGCGCTCTGGCGCTACATGTACCACATGTACCAGCTGGACGCGTTCACGCAGAGCTGTCCCGCAGATCAAGACATCATCAACCACTACAAACTGCAGCAGGTATTGTAATATTATTCAGATTATCCTATATCCCGTACTATCTGTGACATTTTTATGCAATTTGGCGCTTTTTTTTTCATGTTAAAATATTTGTATCTGATTTCTATAAATGTCTTGCGTTGATACATATTCGACACTAGTATAATTTTATTATTTACTTTATATTTTGGTTGTAATGTTAGCATTACAATTTAACTTTTAATCTGAATAATATGTCACAGATCAGTGATTTTCACTATACCAAAGTGAAGTTAAAATGGAGCATCACTCTTAAAAAAAATTAAAATATTTAGTAAACAGATCTTTTTTGTATTATTGATAGAAAGAACAAATAATTTGTATTTAATTTATTTGATTGTGTTGCTTGCTACTCCATGTTTAATTGTCTTTGGTCGGTCTTTGGTTATAATGATTTGTCTCAAATTAATTTTAGAATTAAAAAAAATCGGGGTGAGCTGTATCGAATAGCTCTTTTTATTTTATGTCTATATTTTAGCAAGGTCTATTTGTATGTATGAAGTATATTTCTGAATTGGGAACTTCTTTTGTGGGATTCTCTTTGTATACAAACCCTATCTTTCCTAATATCTTCTCTATCCAATATTTCTCACTATCGTCAACAGTTATCGACAAAAGGTATGGTCTTGTCGCCGAAGCTGGCGCGGCAAAGGATCGAAGACGATGCGGCCTCGGTACGTTGCGGGTGTAAAACATTGCGTTGCTCATATTGCATTCTTCCATCGCGCCACTTCATTTGAATCTTCTTTACAAGCGTTTTATGTCACTTTGTGCCTAACTGTTTTCGTTTGTGCAGGTTCTGGAGCTTTGTTTAATTGTGCATTGAACATAGAGATATTATAGTGTTTTGGTATTGTATAGATAAGATATAGTAATTTGTTAAATATAGAATCTATTTTATTATTTTATAAACATAGATTTTTATAAAATAATAAAATAGATTTTACAACAGTCAACACATATAATATTTCTATGGCAATTAATTTGTAATTTATTAAACTCTTCGTCAAAATCACTTCAAAATATTACATATTTAATTTCATTTCTTAAATGCTCGTTTTTTTTTCATTTTTTAAACATTTAATAATTCAATGTAATAATGGGATATTGTAATGCTTCCTTTGTAAAAATATTGACAAAAATCCTTAAATAAAAAACCGATCAAAAATTTTATTGAATTTCTATTGCATAAAACTAATTTTACGGATTTTATCGTCTTATTTTAAACTTTTATACCCAACGTTTCGGACTCGCGTTATTCACGGCGCTCGGGCTCACGAGAAATATGGGTGGTGTTAAACATCAGGAATAACTTTTTCTGCCACCAGAACGGCGCCACTTTGGAGTGAGGTGAAATATTTGACAGATTTCATGCACGAGAAATGTAATCATTAGAAAAGTGTAAAAGTTTATGTTTTTTTTTTCGAAATATTAGTTATATGGTTTGGTTTGTCCATTTTAATCTAATTTATTTTAAATAACCAAACTGTAAATATTCCTGAAAGAGGAAGAGTTAAAATCATGCAAAAAATTAAAAAGAAACCACTGCGGCATTCTTTTTACCGACTTCAAGTAGGAGGATGTATTCAATTCGATTGTTTTTTTTTGTGTTACCTCAGAACTTTTTTCAGGTTGAGCCTATTTTGATGAGATTTTTATTTAAAAGCTGGTGCTTCTCATGTAGTCCCATATAAATTTGATCAAGATCTGACTAGTTTTTGAGTTATCCTTAAGTAATGCCTAGTTAATTGATTTCGAATACATTGATTCGGTCGTATTGAAGTCGGCTGAACAAAATTTTTAATTTGACCACTAGTGTGTACATAGGTGTAAACACTGAAATCCAAACACATATTCGAATCGCTTTTTTCACTCATAGTGACACTGTGTAGCAACTAACTTCACCTCGGGCCGAACTAGCGCCACCTGGCAAGCGGTTAATTATTAGCCCTCATTAAAAAGATAACATGAACGCGATAAAATTCGTATATTTAGTTTTTCCATGTGTAGTATTTGAAAAAACATAAGAAATAGTGTAACTATTATTGCTTCATTAGTTAATAACAAATGGACAGTATAACAATATTACAAAGAAGACGAGCCATTTAATTTTAGACCATGTATTCTTTCAAAACTAAATTAAGCAAATAAAAATAGGTTTATATCCTAGATAACCTTTGAATATCGACCGGACCTTCACATAAATTATTTCGCTGTGGTTTAAGGTCAATAGCCTTAATGCTTTATCTCTCACTTCTATATTTTTCAAGAAAAGAAAGCCATTTTGTCATTATAACATTTAAAGCTTTTATGGTGTTATATGGTTGGGTCTTAGTATTAAATTAAAATAATTTATTAATATTTTTGTTTTAATGTTACTTTAACATTGTATATTTTGTTTTTTCTTCCTCAACTAATTAGGACAAATTACCGTAAAAGAAATTAAAAAAATACGTGTGGCACTCGGTGACTGCCGCGGTAAAGCTATTGCATAGCATTTTTTATCAACTTATGCAATTATAATTATTTATTTATTTTATTTATGCAGTTAAGTCTTTGATATTAAATCAAGTTACACTTTTTGAGCGTGGTGACCGATAAGAAAACAATTTTTTTTCTCTTATTGAATAAATGAGAAGTTAATATTTTTTCTCGATAAGAAGGTCCCAAAACAACACAAAATGACGACAATATTTCGTACAAATTATAGTGGAATTACAACTGATCTTGCTAAAATGAATTTTGATTTAGTTTACTCTACACAACATCCGAATATTGCCGCTAATTGTCTTGTCCAGTCCTTACAAAAAGTCTTAGACGCTAATACTAAGAAGATTGTTTTATCTAGTCGTAAAAAGATTATAAAGCCGTGGATTACTCCAGGACTCTTACGTTGTATGAAGCATAGGGATAATTTACATAAAAAAATTAAAAAAGAGCCGGAAAATGAAGTACTTAAGTTATCTTTTACGAGATATAGAAATTATTGCAACAAACTTCTAAAAAAAGTCAAGAATGAATATGAAAGAAATCAAATTAGAAATGCAGGTGGAAATAATAGAAGGCTTTGGGAGGTAATAAACAGCATAACCAACAGAAATGCCGCAAAAACATCTTCCACTCAACTATTATCAACATGTACCACGCCGAAAGAATCAGTTAATAATGTCAACACGTATTTCGCTAATATTGGTAGACAACTGGCCGAAAAAAATTCTTGAGAACTCTGAATTGAATCTCTCTCCTACTATTGATAGCTTAGCCCATTCCATGGTTCTTTTGCCTACTGATGAAGTTGAAATTACATCTGAAATAAATAATCTTAGAAGTGACTGTGCCGTTGGCTGGGATAAAATATCCGGTGGCTTCATAAAACAAAACAAAAAATTTATTGTACCTCCACTTACCTACGTATGTAACCTGGCCCTCACTTATGGCATATTCCCAACAGCTTTTAAAAAATCCCTCATTCATCCTGTTTACAAAAATGGAGACCGAGACTGTGTAAGTAACTATAGACCAATATCTATATTACCGTCACTATCTAAAATACTAGAACGTGTGATGAATAATAGGTTGAAAAATTTTCTTGATAAAAATTCCATACTTTCGCCAAATCAATTTGGTTTTCGTTCCGGTAAATCTACAGCTGATGCGGTTCATGAACTAATTGAGTTTATCGTACTTAGCCTCGAGAAAAAAAAGAAAACAATAGGAATATTTTTAGATTTGGCTAAAGCTTTTGACACGGTCTCTGTTCCCATATTGTTGCATAAAATGGAGAAGCTTGGTATAAGGGGTGTACCGTTGCAGCTTTTCAGAGATTATCTTACAGATAGAACACAGTTGGTAAAAATTGATAAACATGTTAGTGATGAGCTTCCCATCTGCTATGGTGTTCCCCAAGGAAGTATTCTTGGCCCTACCTTATTTCTTCTTTACATTAATGACCTCTGCAAACTGAAACTAGTGAACGGAAAAATAGTTACGTTTTCTGATGACACAGCACTGCTATTTACTGGTGATTCATGGCCAGATGTATTTAACTTCGCTCAGATTGGCTTAAACAGAGTGTCCAAATGGCTACGCGATAATGTGTTAACCCTCAACGTGGATAAAACAAAGTACTTGTCCTTCTCCAAACATAATAATAAATATGCAACCTGCACGGACCATGTTATTACTGCTCATTCTTGCAATTTTCCTTATTGTCTGACATGTTCATGCACACCTTTGCAAAAAGTGAATTCAATTAAATACCTTGGCATTTTGTTGGATGATAAGCTAACTTTTCATGAGCATATTTATTCACTTTCAAATAGGATACGGAAATTAACATATATTTTTAAAAAACTCCGTTGCGTAGCAGATTCTAACACTATTAAATCTGTCTATTTTGCTCTATGCCAATCTTTAATAATATATTGTATTACGTGCTGGGGTGGGGCTACCAAATCATCTCTTCTACCCCTCGAAAGATCACAAAGGTTAATCTTAAAAGTAAGTAACTCTCTTCCATTTAAATTTCCAACCAGTCAACTTTATAAAATTTCCAAAGTTCTTACAGTCCGGCAACTGTTTATTATATACACAGTACTAAAAAAACATGCACAATTAAAATATGACCAAAAAAATACACAGCACACGAGACGCAAAGACCGAGTGTGTACTTCTCATTATGACCATTGTACCTACTTTTCCAGAAGATTTTTTTGCTATCTTGGCGGATACCTGTATAATAAAGTTAACAAGGAACTTAATATTCACTTACTACCTAAAATAAAAGCTAAAAAATGTATCCATGAATGGTTACTGAAGACGGACTATAAATATACGGAAGATATTTTTAAATCACATGTGTAAATGTTGTAATTTTTGCATTCACTCAGCACACGCACACGCACACGCACACACACACACACACACACACACACACACACACACACACACACACACACACACACACGTATCATTATTGTTAAATTATGTATATACGCACAAATGTATTATAACGTATCATTATTGTTAAAATATGTATTCCAAGATAACATACTTTTGTATTTGTTTAACTGGGAGGGAGACCTGATGACCTGAAATACAGGCTCGTCGCCTAGTTTAGGCATCAGTCTCTCACATTAATTTGTGCCTTTTTTTTGTTAAAATTCGATATTGTTAATTTAATGTGGAGAGAAAAATAAATTATTATTATTATTATTATTATTATTATTATTGTTTAAAATATTTTTAATATCTTACAATACATGTAGGTTATTCAGGAATTTTTATCATTGAGTTAGCAGCTAGTGTACACGCATACATCTAGTCGCACGCACACAAACACCGTGCCGAAGTCTGCCGGGTGCCGAAATCTGCCGAACTGAAACGACGTTAGACGATGCACGGCTTTCAACGCCACACCTCCGTGCCCGTCGGAGTGGGGAGCGTGAGGTTTTTTTTCGTTACGGAATTTCTGGATTCGGGCCCCGCGCTCAAGGCCCGCGATAGAAGCTATGCAATAGCTTAAAAATTGATCTTATTAATATCTATGACTGTAAATTATTTTCTACCATTTTATACAATTTCTACTAAAATTATTCTTAAAATAATATACATCTACAGCGTATATTGTTTTAAATGTAGATTGTCTGTAAATAAACATACACGAAACTAAACTACAAAATATGGTGCCCTCCGGTTGGTTTATATTTAATATAAATAAATGTTTGCAGGCGCTTAAAATGAAGAAACACGAAGAACTCGAGACGCCGACCTTTACCACGTCTATCCCCATCGACGTTAATGATTTGAGCTCCACCGAATAACGCGATACGTTGCTACGGCGTGGAGCGATAATGAACCTTGGTACAATAGAAATTAAGCAGAATATGCCGATACAAATCCCACTCACAGCGAATCCCGCCTGACTGACAAAACCGTTTGTCGTACCGAGGATATTTTACTAAGTAAAAATGTTACATAGTGTGATACTCCATAATTACTTCTTTGTAAATCCTCGGAGCCATGTCCAAAATACAATGGTTGAAATATTTTGTACTTTTTTAAGTAAATATATAAGTGGAGACGAACCATTGGCAATGATACTTTAATGCTTTACTAATACAGTAAATACAGAATAAGTGTATGATTCCATGCAATCAAAATCATTGTTTTGTGTTATTGTGGTGAATGTTACTTAATTGCTAAATAAATGTTGTTAAACAAAAAGTAAGTTCCCTTCAGAAAAAAAAACTGGATTTTTGTAATATTTTGTAATTAATAGTGGGACGTGTGTGTGGCCATAACTTTTGGTTATTTAAATATTTCAACATTTAAACACATTTTTTTCATTTGGCAGAGGTGCTGCAGAACGTCATTATTTCTATAAATATTTTAAAATTATACAAGCGCGGCCAATGAGTAAATTAATTATATTGATATTCCAATACACATTTCAAATATTTTTAGATTTTAAAGGCTATTATTATTCTAACTCACAACGAATAGGCCATCGGAGATTTTGTATTATATTTATAATAATATTTAAGATTTAAAATAGAATGCCGTATTTGTTTTTTTTCTTATGTTTTAGTTTAAGATAAAAATGTCACTATTATTCTAAAATTTGCCCTCTGCCTTTTCATGCCAATTTCAATATTAAATTTGATTTAACTTAAAAAAATAAAAACAATTGTAAGCGCTCTTGCCTGCCTTAAAGTTACCTTTTTGAAGGTAGATATATTTAAGTACTTACTTTTTAATTTATTTTAAACTTGTATTTCAATACGATAATGACGAGCATTCAAAATTGAACTGATGAAACTCGACATTGGACCTGTTTAAAAATAAATCTTTATGGTATGAACATTTTGATAATAATTAAAAACTATATTGAATTAATTTTCGTCAGTTTTCTTGTTATTCAATTTTGTTTATTTAATTATTTAGTTGCAGACTTGTAATTCTATAAATTAAGTTTTTCATAACAAATTATCTACGCAAATGTCACGAAAAATAATTTTAAATTTGTTCTGTAATTCAATAAAATTTGCAAAAATTGTAGTTTATTCCACATAATATGAAGTCCCACTAGACGGATGTTAAGATAACTAGTGAAGGATTAATTAAGGTAAACTCTTTTGTATATCAAATGCCGATTGCTGTTATGTGAACAGACTAGAATCAGTGAAATCAATTAGAATAAATATATGTTTGAATACAATAAGAAATCTTTATTGTTGTACGGATTGTGTTATATATTCAGTTTTTTTTTTCAGTAAAAAAAACTGTTTAAATAAATTATGTTTCATTAAACATAATTTATTTAAACATAGTTTTGCGTACATAAACATTCTGTTGAACATCTAAGAAAAGAAAGAAAAGCAGTTTTCCATTAGTTTCTGTTGTTGTATTTTTTTTAATTTATAAGGCCACCTCACGAATTTAGACTTATTATGGGCAAAGATTAATAACTATGATTGATATAATAATATTATGTTTGTCAAAGTCAATGAAAAAATATTGAACATAGCATAAATATCATTCCATGTTTTACCTGATTTATATATTTTTTTAATTTAGTTAAAAAGCGGTCTTATTAGCAAATTTTCAAAAACGTACAATGTTGCGAAAGATAAGAGAGATGGATACCGGACTTCATATTTGGAATAGACTCACAAAACGTATTTCTTTATAGGAACATACTATCAGGCTTGTCCTAAACGATTCCAGCATAGAAAATGAGTACTAAAATTATTATTTTTGATTTGATTTATAACGAAGATAAATATTTAAATGACTATTGACTTGCAGTTTTTTCATATACATTATAGTACACAGTAGACAAGGGCGAAAGATATACTTGTCAATTGGGCAATGTGTAAAATATTACATACTAAATTTTCATGTATATATTACCACAATATTTACATGATTATTTAGTGTTGCTAGATAATAATTTAAATGTTAAGAAATAAACCTGGATAAATATTTTTTTTATTTGTGTTTTATTTTGCTTGCCTTTTATATTTTATATATTATTTATATCTTCTGTTTATTTGCAATTGTTTTGTGTTATGTTTGAAACTGCTTTGTGCCTAGCTTTTTAACAAAATTATAATAAGTAATAATACATGTTACACCCGAACCTACTAGAAACTAAATTAGTCGATTTTTTCGAATTTTGATTATCATTATACGTGAGTCTCTTAAAAAATTACGAGAAATCAAACTGGTCCCTGTTTTGGGTAGAAATTAATTTTATTGCGTTTATTACGACCTTATTTTGAAGCTTATTATATTGGCGTCTATATTAATCTTTGCGTTCAGTTTCAACTTTGTAGATATCATGGCTTTAAAAAGTCAAATTTTAATAATTTTTTATTCCCTGAACATCCTTTTTTGTAACACGTGCCAAAGGATGGCTATTTTTTGCATCATCCAGCAAGATTCCAATAATTCATTCTGGGAAATGAATTTATCGCAACAATCAAAATAGTCGATTGTTCCGTTTAGTCAATAAAAATCAACGATTATCGATTGTACTTTGCTTATATATTGTTGTTTTGCGTATGCGCGCAGTACGCTATGCAACGCAATACTATCGAGCTATCGACGGATTGCATATTGTGTACTAGAAGTGGAATCGATTGGAATTGTTCAGTTTAGTCAATAAAATTTAACGATTATCGATTGTACTTTGCGTATATATTATTGTTTTGCGTATGCGCGCGGTACGCTATGTAACGCAATACTATCGACGGATTGCATATTGTGTACTAGAAGTGGAATCGATTGGAATTGTTCCGTTTAGTCAATAAAATTCAACGATTATCGATTGTACTTTGCGTATATATTATTGTTTTGCGTATGCGCGCGGTACGCTATGCAACGCAATACTATCGACGGATTGCATATTGTGTACTAGAAGTGGAATCGATTGGAATTGTTTCGTTTAGTCAATAAAATTCAACGATTATCGATTGTACTTTGCGTATATATAATTGTTTTGCGTATGCGCGCGGTACGCTATGTAACGCAACTATCGACGGATTGCATATTGTCGACTAGAGATTGGAATCGATTGGATTTGTTCCGTTTAGTCAATAAAGTTCAACGATTATCGATTGTACTTTGCGTATATGTTATTGTTTTGCGTATGCGCGCGGTACGCTATGCAACGCAATACCTACTATCGACGGATTGCATATTGTGTACTAGAAGTGGAATCGATTGGAATTGTTCCGTTTAGTCAATAAAATTCAACGATTACCGATTGTACTTTGCGTATATATTATTGCTTTGCGTATGCGCGCGGTACGCTATGCAACGCAATACCTACTATCGACGGATTGCATATTGTGTACTAGAAGTGGAATCGATTGGAATTGTTCCGTTTAGTCAATAAAGTTCAACGATTACCGATTGTACTTTGCGTATATATTATTGCTTTGCGTATGCGCGTTGTACGCTATGCAACGCAATACTATCGACGGATTGCATATTGTCGACTAGAAATTGCAATCGACGTTGGAGAACGACCAGTATTTCTCCACCGTCGATTCCAGACAAGTGAACATCATGTAAAATCACGATCATTGATTTTTAAGCACTGATGTCTTACTACTATGGTCTTTAGGTATACAGGGGATGGAGTATTTATAATGTAGCTATATGACGTTCTAGTTGTTACCTTGAGCTTGTGATATTATATTAAAAGTGAATCCGACTTCAAATAACTAAGAAAATAATTTTCAATTAATTATAAAAATTGTTATAAAAATAGCTAATACACAATAATAATGATCAAAATAGCTTCTGAAGTCAGTGCTTACACGTGGTGGAGATTATAGAAGAGTCAAGTCTACTTTGAAATCGGCTTTTACTTCGAACTCACTTAAAAGGAGGAGGTCTACAATTCGACTCTATGTTCGCTTTTTCTTATAGGTTCACCTTTTTTTATAGGATAGGGTGACAAACGAGCACACAGTCCACCTGGTCGTAAGTGGTTGCTACGGCCCATAGACATCTACATCTTTGATTACAAATCAAAATGCAGATGCGTTGTCACACGTAATGACTACGATGGAGTGCCTCGGCTCCGGTAAAAAGGGTCTCCGGTTCTCTACACTCACTATACGAAACACAGCAGCATTAAGCTAATATTTTACGCTGATATTCTGTGAGAGCGTGGTCCTTCCCCGGTCGAGCCGACTCATTCGTGCTACAACTATGCTACGAATATAACTGCGTGCGTCCCCCCCAGAAACCCCATTC